CTAAGATTGATTTTTCTAGGAGACGCAGCAAACGAGTGCTATAAATACTGCACTCCTGGTGCCACCTTCACCTCTATCTGCGAATGTCTCTGATGATGGATTCGAGCAGGAATCCGAAACGTCAGGCTAATAAAGCTCTTGTCCCGGCGATCGTGTCTTCTTCTTCAAGATTGCTTCCTGGGACTCGTCTTTTCGCTTCTATTGGCAAAACCAAATGTGTAAGGTCTTCCTTCCTCCACGGAGTACTCGTGGTGCACACTTAGACATGAAAATGTGTCATAATCTCTCAGTCCAACTCAATAGGGTATAAGAGGGGCTAAGCTTGACTGACCTATAACTTTGCATCGATTAATGTGCTTTTGTTTTCGTCTTTCCCGCCCCCTTTTTCGAAAGTCATCTGTAATTAAATTAAAAAAGAACCAGCATGTTTGAATACTAGGTCCTCAGTCACATTATTGCACTTCCTGCCTCCGCTCCAGCGTTCAGTACTTTGTTGCTTTCTTACTGAAATTTTAATAGTCACTTGCTTTTCACCTATTCTGACTGACCTGCGCTGATCAGTTATCGAGAAGACAGATGTCTCGACTTGACCACATTAATTGTCATTACATTACCCGGTCGATATTGTTACTGCGGAAGCTGCGTAACGATAGCTGGAATATGGGCATTTCACAATCAGCACCAAGACAATAATTTCGTTATCTTCAGAAGTATCAAATAAGAGAGCTTTTGCAAGCACCCCTCGACAATACGCGACCACCGCTCACCGGCGAAAGACCGGATCGTAGACAGGTGTAACATAATTCAGGATCAAATGCTCTCTGAGTCTCCGGCTGTTGGCCCAACAGCTTGACGATCAGACAGTCTGTTTGCCTGCCAGGCGACACACGGTCACGCCAAACGATGCCTGAGAAAACCGGGGAAAGTAATAATTGCCCAGGAATAGCAGAAAGAGACTCACGGAGTAACCAGCCCACCAGATTAAATACTATCGACTATACTGAATAAAATCTAAATAAGTACACTGTAAAATGCTCAACAGTTTCACTTGCCGCTAGTGAACCCAAATATGAGCTTGAAACACCAGGCAGACATACCGGCTGTCCAGCGAATCGAGTTTTTGCTTTCCTATTAGTGAATTCGTGAGATATGAATCTGCGCAGCTGCTGCTGGGGGCTGAGAGCCACTTTTAGTGAGAATTCTACCGTGAGGTGGGGCTGCGTTCCGCCAGTCCCCTCTTCAGATCACTGTTATAAGTGGTCGTTAATCAGCATTTGCTTTGTGCAGACCCACTTGGGACACACAGCTTGCTCCAGTCATCAGATTCGATCACCAGATCAGGCCTCCCAGAGGAACTAACCAGTCGGTCAGGAGTCGAAGCGGTCCCCTGTACTCCCCCCCCCCGCACTCGGCGACTGAGATGAGCTCGCCATTTGTTGCCCCAACCCGCAGGTGAAATCATCTGAGACGTCATTACACCCGAATCCGACACTGGAGTGACTGACGTAAGAGGTGAAGACGGGTGGTGAAATGTGAGCTTGGAAACACTTCGGGCCCTGCGGTAGTCAGCCTGCGTGACTGCTACTCAAAGCGACTGAAACCCAACGCGGGAGCCCAACGCCAACCAACTGCTATGGACGGCTATCGTCTAGGAGGCCCTGAACTTGCAGCATAGTCTCAGCTGAATCAGTACCAAGGAATGCTGCTATGCATCTGCAAGTATAACTAGGTTCTGACTCGACAGAAGCGCGACTTACGCCTAACATGAAAGAATGACAGTATGTTATTACCGACAAAGACAAGAGAGATTGGAATGGCCATTTCTAGCTTATTGGCCGTCGTCAGCCAGTCATACCCAACCCCGACGCGTGGAACACCCGAGGCTCGAACTCGCGACCTATTAGTTAGAAGTCCATGTCTCTAACCACTGTGCCACGAGCCCGTTGCCCTGTCGGCTTCGATCGGGAATATACAATGGCAGGGGGCGCTCACCGATCGTTATTACGGAACTCACTCTTTCCGTTGTGCCTTACGGGCTCTCCCTCTCCAGCCCGACCTGCAGCCGCACAGCGGCGCATGCTATAGGCAGTATGTTATTACCCGGTGGCCCAGTGGTTAGAGGCGTGAACTTCTAACTAACAGGTCGCGAGTTCGAGCCCCGGTTGTTCCACACTTCGGGGTTGGGTATGACTCGCTGACGACGGCTAATAAGCCAGAAATGGCCATTCCAGTCTCCCTTGTCTTTGTCGGTAGTAACATACTGTCTATATCATGCACAGATGCTGGTTGGGCTCGAGAGAGAGCCCGTAAAGCACAACGGAACGAGTGAGTTTCGTAACAACGGTCGGTGAGCGTCCCCCACCATGACAGAATGAGCTCACAGCAGTGCCTCGCCCTCGAATATGGTGGGCATTGGCTGTTGGTCGTGATAAGTCAAAAATCGCAGTCCACAATAAATACGGGGACTGCTCTCAAGACGAGTCACGTGGGCCGCTGCTAGGTCAGTGTACACAGGTCTCCTCCACGATTTAGATTAGCTCTCAGCCCGGGTCTTGCAACGAAATAGTTCGCCGCCGTTTGTCTACTTAGGAAAGCGGTACGTAGCCGGACAAATTATGAAATTAAAATCTGAAAGAAGAGTTATATTTATGGCTTCAGCAGCAACCGAGAAACCTTTAACGGAACTTCTCCCCTCGTGCAACCTTGGAGGAGACTTATTTGTCCTCAGAGGGCGGTCAAGTTGAACGATGACACTACCTATTCCCTCTAATTTGAATTCAACTCACGGACAAGTGATGCGGCCCAGTTCAGGTTAAAAGGATACTAGCGAGCTCCTTAATATTCATCTTCAAAAAGGAAACGTAGCTCGGTGATCCGAAGAGACTTGATAAGTAAGGCTGAACTTTAAAACGGAATTCACTAACAACACTGTTGACCTAACTGCATGGGCTAGCTGTCAACGAACTCCGATGGATTTTGTAGATGTTTTCACACCCTATCCTCTCAGTGACGTTTTTATCTAGAGTTATCATATAATTTTAAATTAGGTTTTTTGCATTGCGTTGGCGGAAAATTAACACCAAAACGACCATCTCATCCTCGACTTAAATTTACGTCATTAACGTTTTTATACCGTTTTAGAAAGTTCGCAAAGAAGCACACATAAAGCTTAGAGGTAACCGGAAATTACCAAAAACGAAAGTCTCAAGCAACAGAAAAGTTAGGGAAGAATGCTATTATATCTCCCTCCCCCCTTTCTGTTTAGACAGGTGTACAATTTCTCACAAGAACGACACGAACTTAGCTAGGGAAAGATACTTTCAACGAGTAAATGAATCAGGCACGCGTGTAGTTACTTTTATGACAGAATGCTTTTCGTGAATATAACACCCGTCCACGTACCTCGTCATGTTTTTCTAATTCTCACATTTATATCCCAAAACATTTTTGCTGCCCAAAGGAATCCCGACGAGTTTGAACAGGCTATTCAATGACCTCAGTAGGCGGCCAAAAATGGCCGATCTAGGTTCTCCGGAAATTCCCCCAGGTAAACTGCGAAACAACGTATGCAGAGCCTTCTTACCGCTTCTTAGGGCATTACTATCTTAGAGGTGTTGATGATCCAGGAAATGTTTGGCATAGAAGAATATAAAATGTTGGGGCAGTCCGTTCCCATCGGTGTTCGGAAGTGAAGTTTCCTGATTAGGTGTGCTGATACTTGTTATGGATCAGTACCATTCAAGAACAGTATCACAATTAAAACTGAGGTCAACGCCGGAACTCAGGGCAAGCAAACGGAAAGTGAAGTAGTTAAGAGGTCACCAAGAACCAGGTCGAACGTCACCGCTACCCTCTCAGGCTGTGTGACCAAGGCCGTTCGCTGACATATGTGTATCCCTCTAGAAAATGTGAACCTTAACAGACTCATAGGTGAACCTAAAGTTCCACAGGGAGAATACTCCAAGCCTTCCACGTAATTTAAGGGATCTGGCATTTTGAACTCCACTATCCACCGCAAAGACCATATGACAACCTCTCAAAGGATCTCAGGGGAGGGGGGGGGTAGAGGAAAGATTATAAAATCCACAGCCCTGATCCTTAATGCCAGCGAACATTCGCTCGGAGCAAGACGGACTGAAAAACTTGTTTACACCTGCTCTACGCTAGCAGTCGTCACTTCATAACTGTAGTGGCAGAGTGAAGGGGGCGCACAATCGGGCTCTCCAGTGCATATCACATGTCAAACCATTCAATTATAAACTTCGCAAGGCACGATGAGATGGCAATGCTCAGATGCGTTTTGTCTGGATTCTCTATGTGGCTTTTGTGTTAAATAAGCATGCATCCCTCACATGCCCGTCCAAACAAAGCAAGTATCGGGACTGTGAGCAGTAACTCCTCACAAGGGAGGCCAACTTGCAACACAAAAAGGCGGCGAAGCAACCAAATTCATCTATTCACACTTTGAACGCCCATACCAGTCTCAGTATTCGCCGAAATCGATGCGACGACTAGCTGCCTGGCCACGGTACACACAATTGACCCCAATGCGAGCTGATACCTGGACGAAGGGCGTTTTGTAGCAACCATCAGCAGCATTCCTACGGCAAGAGACAAAGCACTAAAGGTTACTTTCACTGAGGCCGAGTCTTACAAGGCTGTTCTTGGAACCTCGGGCGAAAAAAAAAACCTATTGATCGCTCTGTGCATACGCAAGACCTAGAAAACTGAGCTACCAATGTCTAGTTGAAGTAACCCAATAATGACAACAGCAAAAACACAGTACTAGCGGAGATAATTTCTTCAGGGAGAACTCATGATAGTTAGCAGTAAATGTGCATGATAGTACAAAGTATTGGGGATTCGTAAAACAAATAAGACGATTTCCTCATTAGTAACCGGATATGTACAGTGGCAGCTGTATGTCATGCAGGTTTTTGTACAGTATGGCAAAGTAGAAAATAAAGTGATCTTGGAAATAAATGCAAAAGTTATCCTTTTCAGACCTCATCACCTGCGGATAGTCGAGCAGTTTGGGCGATGCCACCTGTCGGTCGGCACATGAGAGAGCAGGTCTCGTTGCAGTACTTGGAGTTCGAGTCTAGACTGTCACACCTGTCGAAGAAGCACCCATCTGGTTCGTGTCCATAAATGTTGTGCTTCTGATCCAAATAGTGGTTCGGGGATGGCGATTGTGGAAGCGAATCTGGACCAGAGTAGAAGCCACTGGTTGCAATGGAGGATACCATGCGAACCCCATCCCCCATGCAGGCGCATCCAGCGTGCCCGACAATGAAAACGGGTTTTTCGCATTCTTCGGGTATATTCACGAAAGCCAAGCCAGAGCTCACAGAAATGAGACCACGCGGCTCCGCAGTCGACTTGGTCGAGTTCAGGTGAATGGTTTGATCGGATTCGCATATTCGTGGGTCTGGAAAGAATTCCGAAAATGGTCGCACGTAGTAACGGCTGCTACCGGCTGGATGGCGTCTCCTACGACCGGGCGGCGGCCAACGTTCCTCCTCACCTGACGAGGTGTTGGGAGAGTCGTAATGAAAGACAACCCTGGAGTTTTCCATGTGGACAGCAGTGCTCATCGCGATCATGGCCATGGGGCCTCCTCACTTAATTTTATATGTTCAGGCGGCAGGCTGTATACAAGGTAAAACCCACGCGACTGCCTGCTTTCCGCGGCGCTCATTGGTTGATAGATTTGCACGTGCATGATTGGTCATACCAAACGAACGTCTATTTGCGCTAGGCAGCCAATGGGGACGTAGGTCATGCGTCATCATCATCACTGCCATCAGTGGCGTGGTTCATTCAGTCCGCGACTTGTCGTCATGCCGGCTTGGCGTAGTTATTGCTTCCCGCAAACTGCCCCACGTCTTTATGTGCGCTATCTGTCGGCGGCTCCCCTCAACTAACAGCGTGCAGCCATTCGAAGGTGACAGATTTCGCTCTCTGGGTTGTCACTGTTGAAGGGCGCCTTATTTCGGCCGTCACACGTGCAAGGCCATTGTGTGGAAATGGGAGTCAGACTTCACCTTTTTCAGTAAACCAAAACAACCGTAGGTGTATGAGTGCTGGATAACGCATATTTGGCCAATATTCCTCTGGTGGATGCTTTCAGGCTCGTAAAAACCCAAAAGGCTGACTTTAGCTTCCCTTACAATCCCACACGCAGGGTGTGCGTGAAAATTGCGGAGGACAGAGATGTGCCTGTCCAAATCATTAATTCGTTAGATCGTTGCCGGGACAATTTGTCTGCGGATGGCTATTTCATTCAGATACGTCAAGTCCCCTCCCCTATGGACTTTAGAAGAACTGGAAGAACCAATGTATATGGATACTCCCCCATGACTTCGCACGAAATGAGCAGTTAGTGCCAAATTAACAGCTCTTTTGAATAAGTTCCGCAAATATTCCCATGTTACAAAGTTTATCACTGCGCCAAGGATCCAGACTAACTGAAGTTTGACGGTCTCATCCCTTTTTATTAACTTCCTCTTTTGTTTTAACGTAGCGGACTCATCATTGCGTGAATTGTGATCAGATCGTAAGACTCTTGAATACTGATTTTACATGCCAATTGGTCTTTTCCTGCTGTTCATAGTCTCACTGGCGGATGCAATTTATAGTGAACATTAGCGACACATTCATCGTTACGAGTGATTATTGTGCTCTCAGCAGCCCCACAACGACGATGGTTACGACCGCCACCTCCAGTTTAATCACTGGTGCAAACATTACCGGCTCCAGTCACCCCCGACGGTCGTCACCACCGGCCACACCACCAACAAGGGGGGGGGGGTCAATCTCAACCTGTCCCAAATGCGATCTCACCTTCAGATCACTCAATAGTCTTATCGGTTACTTGATAATCCGTGGCATTGAGAGGGGCAAACCAGCGCCAGCGGTTTGACCATACACCCGTCACACACTAATTACTTTTCTTCAACGCTTCCAGACATGCAGACACCACATGGGTCTTTTCGGCCACGTGGGTAGTCATGACAACGTAATTCAACGCAATTCCTACACACCAAACCCCCCAACCAGCACATTTAACAAATTTAATCACCACGAGCACTATCCGATCTCGTCGGGCCAGTCCGGTTATATGGGAACGGGGTAGAAGTAAAACATGTCAGCGTCACACGAGTCGACGCTTATCCAAGAGAATACGGGAACACCTACCGGCATGGCTGGATAAAGGCGAAACGAGAAACGAAAGCAGCGCCATTCTCGCGCATGTTGTCGATTCCGGACATTGCATGGACTTCAGCGAAGCTTTTCGTGTGATTTATAAGATCCCATCGAGCTACCCTAAGCTACTAGGCCAGCGTTTATTAGCGACAGCGGAAGCGGCCGCCATTACGAAAGTCAATTTTATGCGCACGGAAGAACGACGTTCAGGCTCCGCGCCTACAGTGGTCGAAGGTCGACTAACGCTGCTACACTTCGCGCCCTTCCGCTCTCACCCCGCCCCGGACACTGACTGCTATTACCCTCCCCCACATTCCCACACCCCGCCTGCGTTTTACGGAGAACTTTTATCGATTTCTCTTATCGCTGACATGTTTTACTTCTACCCCGTTCCCATATAACTGTGCTGATAACTCGGACGGATGTTTATCCTGGCGATTAATCTTTTTCATTGAGACTACATTCAGACCCTATACGCGGCCTTTATGCTAATCTACGAACATCTCAGCCAATGAATTTCGTGTCGTAAAGTGATAGTTGAAGTGGACTAACTTTGCATCTTACATCCATCCCTCCGACACCAGTGTTCACCGAAGTCCACCCAAGGTACAATGCGTTGCGCAACTGTTCAGGCTCTACCAGTAACGAAATCAGGCGGGCCATTTGGCGGGTAGTCGGTAAAATTCGGTTCGGAAGTAAGACACTCGAGAATGCCGCACATTAGGGGTTAACCTCAAGCCGTGTGGATGATCTCCCATGGGATTTGATGAAGCCTCCTACCAGAATGATCTGTTCAGATTTAGAGGAAAACCCGGGGCTTCACCTAATACCACATCGAGTCGCGTACATGTGATGTAAATGATGAAGGCCTTGACTAATAGGTACCTAATGATATTGCCGAACAGTTGATGGGTACACTACCACAAGTGTGGCCTGCGTTGCTATAGGAAAACAAAAACCACAGCTGTGTCTGGACGTTCTGAAACAGCAATTTCATTACACTTCAGCTTAAGATGGTGATTTAGTATTACGCTGTCACCATACAGCAGAGAAGTTAAGGTTAAAACCCCTGCCGCAACAAGAATGCTCATTGCTAACGGGCTCCAATAGGAGCGGAAAACATGTATAATGGCCCCCCTCCCCTATCTGAGGACAGGCAACCCACAAATATCACGTGACGCGACCGCGTTCTAGCGGCGTACAACATGAAGAGAACCGAAAAATGACTCTTTTCCTAAGTGGAAATTTACACGAAACGAAAAGCGGGCTGTTTGTGATAAAACAACAAACCAGCTCGATGTCCGATGAACCTGACCTCCACATGAAGACGACCATGGTTACTGTTTGGTCTTCTGCTGCGAAATTATAGTAGACGGCCCATCTATAAAACGTTAATCGAAATTCTAAAATGTGTTTCGAGATGGAAGGATCACACAGGCAGCGGAGACTCACAATCGCAGCTGATGCGATAATGGTGTCCTTCGATGTCGTTTCACTCTTCGCCACTAAACCATTGGATGTGGCACGGCAACACACAGAAAAGCGTCTCCAGTCCTACGAAACAGACATATCTTTATCTGCTTTGTTTAAAGTCTTGGATCTTTGTCTGAAAACAAACTTCTTATTTGAACATAATTACTATCAACAAATGAAGGGAGCGCCAATGGGGTCACCTATTTCCAGTTTCCTTGCGGAGTTCACGATGCAAAATTTGAAAGTTATGGCCCTACCGTTAGTTAATCCCAAATTATGGGTGTGCTATGCAGATGACACTCCTGTTTTCGTTCAAAGGATCAGCCGGAAATGCTCCACAGTGTTTTTGACTTAGCACTGCCAGGAATCTCGTTTACACTCGAAAACGATTTTGACAGTAAACTCCCTTTCCTTGACGTCATCGCACTGCGAATGACTAACGGGGCATTTCAAACATCAGTTTGCCGCAGAGAAACTTATGCCGACGTTGTTTTACACTACGATAGCAATCACCCTATTGCTTACGAACGGACTGCTGTTACCAGCCCACTTAAGCAATAACACACTGCTTAGACAACAACAGTTGCCAGTTAGAACTTAATTATTTGTTCAGACTCTTTTCCCGAAATGGGTACCCCGGAGATTTTGTACGCCAGTGTATGAGACAAAAGGAGTTTTAAAAAAGACAGGGAACTAGTTTGTTCCGATAAAGCGCCTAAACAGAAAACTTTGAAAACACTTGCGCACATTAAATGCCTGTCTGAACTCTTTGAAGGACATCTGATGAAACATCAAATACAAGTGACGCACAAACCGACGACCACATCACCCATCCAGCTCGCACACCCTAAGAATAAGGTTATTCATTTAGGTAAGAAAGAGGTCGTCTACAAGATTCCGTGTGACAATTGAAATACAGTATACTGTGGCCAAACTGGCCGTAAGGATGCGAGACCACTTGTCCCAAGTTGCTATGCACACACGCGAGACTGGTCAAAAACGTGCTTGAGACAAAACTCGCATTCCTGGTGTTTGTCTATCTAAAAAGTAGTGAATATTTAAAGGACATATACCACGATGAATCATGAATTAACGGACGCATTGATCTAGACACCGTTTACTGTATTCGCAGGGAAAGATGGAAGAGGCCACAGCCAATTAACGCGAGATCTCAAGGCTATGATTTATTGGAAGGAAGTTAAGGACTGTATCGAATTTTTGCCCCTTTTAAAAGTGTTAACAGATTTGCGCATTCGCCACAGGCCTAAAGACGACCTGGGGAACCACTGTCGAAAATTTACAGGATAATGTGTGCTGCTTTTCCCAAAGGACTTATTATTTTCTACCTAATCTTCTTGGAATGCCAATCTTTATATATATATATATATATATATATATATATGTTGGAAAGGTAATACCGACAAAGACAAGGGAGACCGGAATGGCCATTTCTGGCTTATTAGCCGTCATCAGCCAGTCATACCCAACCCCAAGTGTGGATCACTTGAGATTCGAACCCGGGATCTTTGGTCATGGAGTTGAACGCTCTACCATTGAGCCACGGGCCCGTTGTCCTGTCGGTTGTGATCGGGAATATTAATTATGATAGTGGGCGCTCACCGATCAGGTTACGGAACATGCTCGTTCCGTTGTGCCTTGGGGCTCATACTTAAACCCTCGCAGGCAGTCGCACAGCGACTAGTGATATATGTTGGAAAGGTAATACCGACAAAGACAAGGGAGACCGGAATGGCCATTTCTGGCTTATTAGCCGTCATCAGCCNTTCAACTCCATGACCAAAGATCCCGGGTTCGAATCTCAAGTGATCCACACTTGGGGTTGGGTATGACTGGCTGATGACGGCTAATAAGCCAGAAATGGCCATTCCGGTCTCCCTTGTCTTTGTCGGTATTACCTTTCCAACATATA